CCTTAACTGAACGATCCACAACAAACAATGGACTAATATTATTAATCGATAATTTTTGATAAATGCCAAATGGTGCAACAATCTTAAAATTATCAAATAGAATTAGGGACGCCCATCTCAGTGCTTACCTGCTGATGTAGAATTCTTTATATGGATCATGAAGAATTCCATAAACCACCCAAGAAGCAAGCTGATTGTACATGACCTGATGCCCATGCCATAGAAGCCTATGCTTAAAGAAAAAGAAAAGGAAACACGTGTAAAGCGGAGAACAATGTTATTTTTATCCATTAGCTACAGTACTAGCAGAGATACCAGCATAGAGTTTGCAGTTTCTGATTCCACTAATAGTTCTTTTCCAACTTGGTCAAATTATATAGTAAGAAGAAAAATCCAATGGATGGCTACATTCTTGCAGGGAGGGTAAACATTTGCATCCTCAATAACAGAAGAAAAAAAGAGCATATGTAAAATTATAAGGTAGTATTTTGACAAAAAATCCTGAGACTAGTAAAACTCAATCAACTTTCAAAGAGAATAAGTTTTCTCAATTTTCCACTTCCAAATGACCAATTTATCAAAAGCATAAGAGAGTTGAATGTGGATAATACTCGGAAAAAGATGAAGTTAAGAAGAATGACTTATCTAGACAGAAATCCTTTCCCGCGTCAGTTCTTGAGGATACAGAAAACAGTGATGAGTGATAACTTACCTCCATTATAGTGATATCAACAATATACAAAAGTGGAGTTAATAACACTACGCCACTCCACCTATACTTTTAATTTGGAATGTTTTGGAAGGGGAGCGGAGTTAGACAGGAAGATAAACCAATACAGGCACTAGAAAGGGGCAGGTCAGATGCACACATTAACATAAGTGCTAGTAAAGGACCAAGACTTGAGTCACTTGACTAATGATATCAATTTAAATTTCTCACAAAATGCCCCATCTGTAGGTGTGGTTTTCTGTGAAGATGTCTGCATGCCTTATCAGAAAGAAAATGGCAATTGTACAACCACTACTAGCATAGTATTCAAAAACTGGACTTGTAAGCAACTTTTGTGAAGTATGGCAACAACCATGACAAATAGATAATCCACGAAAAAAGAAACAGAAAAAACAGCCAAGACGGCAAAAAAATGTGATAAAGTTTTTAAAGGGAATAGTAGAGGGGCAATATTTGCCCCTCTACTATTGAAAAGGGATAAATATTGCCTTTCTTTATACTATCAGTCCATATATGCCCTTAATGTTATACTTTTGGTCCATATATGCCCTTAATGTTTTAAACATGGCTCAAATTTATCCTTTCTCCACTAACCCCATCCATTTAGCAAAAGACGCACCAAACCGACCCTTCTTCTTCCACCACTTCCAAAAGTCACCAACACCTTTATCAGATGTATCATCACCTCCAACTTACTATATTAACCTTTCTTTACATACTACTAACTCAGAATATGCTAAAGCAAATGGTTGTAAAATTTGCCATCACTCGATCATTTCAAATTTCAAGTTTCACATTAGTGTACAATATTTGAATTGAATTTCTGTTGCATGCAGATTTACACCCAATAAAAGAAAAGGAGGCAGCACAGTTAGAAAATAGATTTTGAGTAATCACATACAACCTACTCATAATTGTGTTTACAAATGTTAAGCTAGTCTTGAAGTTTATTGTTATGGATCTATGTTGATAATGTGATATTACTTAACTCCTAATATGTGTTTTGCTATGCCTATGTATGAATTCTGTTCTTATAATCACCCATTTGGCAGTACATAAGGAGTCGTTTTTATTTTTCTTATGCTTGTTTAACTCTTAGTTCAAATCTTATACATACTTTGGAAATATCATTTCATGAGTTGATATTTGTTTTGAAGAGTGACTTTTAAAATACCAAGATAATCTGTAATATTTATTTACTTTTCAAACTTCAAATTATCATGAAACAAAAAAGAAGGAATGTGTTGGTGTGTAGATGGTTTATGTTTATGGTGATGGTATATATGGTAAAGGTGTTGGTGTGGTGAATTGTCATTTTGGCTAAAATGGATGGGGTTAACAGAGGACTGGCAAATTTGAGCCTCTTTTATGACATTAAGGGCATCTATGGACAGATGATATAATATTAAGGGCAAATATAAACTGATATACGAGGGAGGGCAATATTCAAACTTTTTCAATAGTAGAGGGACAAATATGACCCTTTTCCTGTTTTTAAATGCTCACCTCTGAATGCATGTCTGTAATTCAGGAACCCCACAGTGGCAACGTTTGTGTAAAAGGTTGAGAAGTTTCCCTCCATAAATGTTATCGCGTTCAATCTCTAGAATCAACTCAAACAGAGGAGGCAAAAGAACGAAGAACTAAAATAAGATATGTTAGCAAGTCATTTAAGGAACAAACACAAGGTCATTGAATGTACTGGAAAAACATGGGTACAAGAATAATATGAAACTTGAGCAAGCACCATCAAGCCTTGATCAGAGCAAAATAAGTTCCACATCAAGAACTAGTAAAAAAATAGTGAAAAAGCAGAGAAATGCAGGTTCAGGAAGAAGAGATGAGCTACAAAAAGAAAAAGGAAAACAGAAACTCTAAAATCAGCCAAGCTCGCTTATGATTGACTAGGATAAAGAAACATGGAGCTATTGTACCAGAAGAAACATGCAAGAGAAGACTCGATACAGCCAAAGTGACCAGCTAATCTAACAATTTCTTAGTCCAGTTTTTATGTAGAAATTTAAGCAAATGAAAAAGAACAACCCTCATAGGGGTCTATGATTCAAACTAAGAATTCCATGACAATGTATTAAAGTGATGGTCTACATTTCTGCTTCTGCTAGCCTCTTTTCACAGAAGACATATAGTCATCAATAATGTGATCATAAGCAAAGAACAAAAGCAAAGTCTATTACATAGAGGAAATTGACGACTCACCTTATTGAGGCCTTGAGTAAGTGTTGCCACGATAGGCAGTGCATCAGATAGTAACTTTTGCTCAATGTGGAGAACAGCAGACCTATAAACTGACAACACCTCAACAATACCATTCGCAATGGCCCTCCTGTACAGACTCTGCTTTGATGCTTTTCCTTTCAATAGTTGGGATGTCCTCAACAGAGGTGACTCATTGGGGGACCTAATCCAACTTAAATTACGCGACTTGGCTGCAAAGCGATCTAGCTCCCTGTAGTAAAATCCTAGAGTAATAATCCTCTCAATGACATCCCTGCACCCAAACCCAAAATCTCAACACATTACAGCCAAATAATTATACTTTTAGCTAGATAAGCAGAAAAGGCAGTCTAAAAATACACCAAGATTCCATACATTCCATAAAAAAGGAAATAATTTTTTCCCTAAAGCAATAATCCTCTCAAAGTCATTGCTGCACCTAAAACCAAAATAACAAGAAGCACCTAGACTTCACAACCCAAGATTTTTTCAGAACAATTTTATGAACTAAACAAGAAAACCACATAGTATTATTTAACTAGATATGCAGATACTTCCTAACAAAAAAAAAAAAAAACTACTCCGAACTCAATTAAACTAGTTCCGGCTAGCTATGTGAATTCTCACTATACATTTCCCTCCATCTAGACTAGTTTTATTGCAAAATCAATCATTTGGGGTTCTCTCACACTATGGTTCCTTTACATATTGTATACCACAATTTTTTTTAAAATAATTTTTTTTTTTTTGAAAGCGCAAGACCGAAATCACAACAAATAGCAAACCTTTCAGCGGGGATTGGATGAAATAGCAATCAAGGGCAAGCTTTAAGATGGATACTCACATCATCTGCTGAGATTACAAATCTCATAAACAGACTAAAAATGAATTACATTGCCGGAAAGACAATAAATTTCAAACCTTTCACTGGGTTGAACGAAAGAGACATCAGGAGCAAGCTTAAAAGTGGGTTCTTGAGAAATGGGTGCATCTGGTGATAAAGGAACTTGGGCCCCCGATTGTTCTTGTTGTTCTCTAACGTCGATGATGAGATCTCCGGTGTAACCCAACAGGGCAAGTAAGAGTTCGTGCAGCATAATTGAGTTGAACAAGAATAGGGTAAAGGTGAATTGAATTTGCTTTTAAGTTAACTGAAGAAGAAGAGAGAGAGTTTTAGATTTTGATTTAAAAAAGTTTTAGAGAATCGTTGCTGGGAATGTTGGGGAAAAGCGGGAAAGGGTTTGGACAAAGTCCGAATTTTAACGGGTCGGGTTAGAGAAATGGGCCGTAAAAACGAAATCAACCTCCCGTCAGCTAAGCTATTAAGATTTTTCGAAGAAAATAGAACTCTTATACAGAAGTCTACAACACTCTTCTGTAACGCCCTAATCATTCTTTTTTTACTAGTATATTATATTGGCATAATGCATATATTAGACCCTAAATTTAGTTTCAAATTTTAACTTTCACCTCAAATTTTCATAGTGCACAAATAGGCACTTTAATTATCTCATCTTTCAATAAATAAACACGCGATTCCTACCTAGCAAAATGAGTGAAATGCACGCTTTACGCGTGAGTGAGGGATAATTTACGAGGTCCACAAAGGTAAAAAAAAATGCTGAAATGACAATTCTATCCTTGATGAATCTCTTTTATATTAATTAAAATTAATTTTAATTTTTTTTAGTTTCAAATTGACATGTTTTTGAAAAAAAGACATGTAAAATGTTTAGTTAGTTGTCAGTCACTGATTGACTCACTAATATACGTGAGAGCATTTGCATTTCACACACTTTGGCTCCAAAAATCGCGTGTTTATTTATTGAAAGATAGGATAGTTAAAGTGTTTATTTGTGCACTATGAAAGTTTGAGATCAAAATTAAAATTTGAAATCAAATTTAAGATCTAATATATGTATCATGCCTATTATATTTAACGTCACATTAGTATCTTGAAAAAACATAATTTAAATTGGAAGTAAGAAAGAGTACTATATCAACGATTGAACCTTATATGATGCGAACTTTAAGGTATCAAACAAGTGGATTCTGAATACTTCAACAATGTAGACTATAGAGGCAAAGAGATTGTTTGTTCTCCACCAAATAATGTTTAAATGAGACTTGACACTTTTTTAAAATGGCAAATGGTCCATAGAAGCACATCAAAATTACAAGGTGCTAGTACACAGCAAATACACGGCTAAACTTAGATATCCAAGGATCATAAAGCTTAAAATTGCAACACTCAAATCCTAGTGAAAGTAAATGTTTAATTCTACAGATAGCAGCTACAATATAGTCTTATCTACTTCTTTGCATATGTAATCAGCATGGGATTGTCGGCGGTAATTTTGAAGCCTTGCAGGGCCTGCATGGCAACAGTCGATTGCATCTCATCTCCATATTCTATGAAAGCAATTCCAGGCTTTGCCTCAACCATCCTAACTTCCTTAAAGCCTGGATATTGGCAGAAGAGCATTTGTAGCATCATTGGAGTAGACTGATGAGGAAGATTCTGCACAAACAATATGCTATTTGGCGGAGCAGGAGCCTCCGGTACTGCAGCTTTAGCTCCACCCATGTATGGTATTTGTGAGAACTGCAACAAGTGGAGAAGGGGAAACAATTACATTTGAGGAAGTTTCTGGTAAAAGCATCTAAGAAAATCACAATTAAGCACTAATTGACTACATTTTAAACCTCTATGCATTAGAAGGGTGTAACTCAATACATCAAGATTTCACCAAAATGAGAGACAAATCACAAACTAATCAAGAACCCAGCAACAAACTTCTAACTCTTAACTACATAACTTCTACTATCCATGCAACATGGATCATTTTCAAGTATTGCTCCCGTTTTCATTTCACCCCAAGAAATGTGTTAGTGTGCTTAATAGGAAAATCAGATTACATCTTTCAAAACGAAATCAAAATCACATCATCTGATAAACTTCGTATAGTGTGGTGACAGGAAAAGAGATGATACAATCCCATTAATTCAATATATGACGCAGAAAACAGGAAACTAAACAAAGTTTCTGAAAAGAAGGGAAAATGCTTACAGGAGGTGCTGCACCATAAGCACCAGCATATGCAGGATTCCGGCCCATTCCAGCTTGATTAGCATCTTGCTGGTCCTTCTTCTTTCTCCCTGCTGGATCACAGTAAATGAATAGCTAAAAATATTGCAATAGTCAAGTAATTGTACTTCCACTACTTTTTTATTTAGGGATGTGGTTGGGTCGTACGAAAGGAAGGGGGGAGGGGGGGGGGGGGGGGGGAGCTAATCACAAGTACAGAAGTTGACGGGTAAAATTTGTCTGCCCATTATTATATGTAGCTTATAGCAAACAGTATGTAGCAAACTTTATGAAATGACATGTCTTAGATGTATAGTCCAGCCTTCTCTAGGGATTCAAACGAATAGTGGAACTAGAAAATTTTCAAATGAAAGAACTTACCTTTATCCTCGTGCCTCTTTCTTTTTTCTCGGGGAACAAAAGTACCATCGGCTTTTGCTACAACATCAGATTTCGTCTTTGCATATTGTATTCTCTGATATACATATATGTGTGTCAAAAAACTATGTAACCAATCTATAGTACACCAGAAACATATAACAGTGGTAATCAAAATGACATTTTAAGACATAATTGAACTAAAGAAGTTAATTCAGGAACTAAAAAAGCAACTCCAGGTACGAAACCCCAACCTCATTAAGCATCTAGAAGCAACATTAATTTTGCTTGAGTAATAAACAGATGAACATAGCATGCGCATGCAAGAACCACAAACAAATAGGTGGTCACATTGTATAGCATTATATGCACTTCGCTAAACCCCGTAACATGCTCATATGTAAATGCAAAGAGTAGCATTGCATTTAAAAGTAAACATTGAGAAAATTCACTCAAACCAGTTGTTTAACTCAATGAGGAAATGGACTGAGTAGCATGTATGATGTAAGAAAACCAAAGAATGCAAAACAATATCAACAAACATTTTAACATTCTGCATGTGAATCATCAGTAGTTACGGCAGCACCCCATGCAAGAACAGAAAACAACTATTTGATGAGGACAAAACAACAAAGTATAGTGGTAACATGTTTTGCAAGAGAACAAAAAACAACTAAATATAGATGTTTGTACTTTGTCTTTTTGGTGTAACGTCATTAATGTACACAGAGCCTGCTCTATGCATTAAATAATAAGGCCTTCGCCTTAGGCCCCAAATTTCGGGGGCCAAAATTTTTTGTGAAGAATAAATTATGTGTTAAAATTTTTATAAAAAATTTATTATTTATGATAAAAAGTATAATTTATTTAAAAACAAATTATTTTATCCACTTTAACATCTTTTGTACTTTGTTAAAAATGAGAATTAACAGTGAAAAGTGTTACAAAGTGAATTACAATTTTATTTCATTTTTTTCAAATTTTAGTTTCAAGCGTTACTCTAAGCATTTTAAAATGAGGTTATACCAAGTCATCAACTTTTAGAGTCAAATTCTATGATTCTAACTCTTATCTTTATTTAATATTTATCAACTTATTACTTGTATCATTGTGTTAACAATACATATAATAATTATCTCACTTAAGATGTTTTTCAATGTTGAGCCTTACTTAAAACTAGTATCTGAAAAAATAATATTAAGTACTAATAATTTTCATCTTAATAGTATAATTTTTTTAAATAAATACGTAAATGAAGTATATTTATATTTTAGGCCGCCAATTGAAATTTCTCTTTAGGCTCCCAATTACGTCGAGCCGCCCCTGAATGTACATCACATAGACACTTCACCTGAGTTACTCAACTTTGTGGACATTTGAGTTTTTCTCCTGCAACTATTTGCACTTCTAGGGTGCCTATGGAAAGCAACAACTCTTATATTTGCACTTCTAGGGTGCCTATGGAAAGCAACCACTCTAAACCATATTCATCAAAACAATTTTCAAAAAAGAAACACCAAGCAATGAGGTGACACCCAGAATTAGCATGGAAAACACTCTTAAACTCAAGTGAAGATGAGAAATATGCATCTACTACACAATTGAAACTAAAGTCTAAAGAAGTACAATTTGCAAAGTCACAGCTCACATAATGCTAAAGCAGCATGTACATTTCAGAATATCCTCATTTGGATTTCCAGGTCAGAATATCTTTGACAAGGATTATCTTAACCAATCTCTGAGACCAGGAGATACAGTTGTTTATAGAAACAATGGAGCAGCTTATGACTGCAATTATCTATTCTGACTCCATTCTTCCATCTATGGACCAATACATACATGAATATTACAGAGGAACAAAACCGAAGACATCTGACTGAGGATGCAAGTAACGCATATCGAGGACTGATTATGTCCTGTATAGACATCTTACCTACGGTCCATGGATATTACACTACAATGAAAGAATGTGCTAAAAGGAATGAGGTCGACTAAAAATACAAAGAGAAAACTTGTCTCAGAAAAGACGTATAAGCTCACATAATCAATTGGGACTTAGCAAGGATATAACACAACAAAGCAACTTTATAGATAATACTCAACAAATTGGGGATAAGCTTTAGTTGCTGATGTTACTCCTCCATTAATAGACCAGTAATGGGAGTTCCACTGGGATTGGTAACACAAAATGGGTTGTCCTAACCCATCGAGTTTTCTACCGTAGGCCATCTCATCATAAGTTCTAAATACACTTTGCAGAAACTGCAGAAAGACTTGCAAAGGCAGATCCAATTTGGTTGGACGGAGAATTCATGGGAGAGAAGGCTAACTATAATAATATTCCGGTGCTATTAAATATAGAATCTTATGAGTCAACATGGTTTCTATATCTCCTCCATCTACCTCCAAATAACGAGACTAAGAACCGCTAATCTTGCCACTTGGTCATGCCGGATCTTAGCCTCATGTCATTAGCCAATGAACTAACTAATGTGCCCTTATCAGTCAATCACACTAACATATCAAATATCTTGAATCACAAGCATGATAGGTTTGGTGATTATAAGGAGTTCCTTGATGTGGTCGAGATTTGTATGTCAGTATAGGATAATTGTAATATACAAAAGATCTAGTTTTAGCCAAACTATCCTTCAAAAACAAATTATTTAAGTTATTAGAAACTTAAATAAAGCGGAAATGTAAAGGACACGCGTAGCCAATCCCAAATATTGAGGATTGAGACAACATTCTATGCTTGATAAATTTTGTATAGTTGTTTGCTGGATTACGACAAACATGCTCCAACTCCTTTGAGAAGCAATGAGGGAACAATCAAGATTGCTTCAAGTTGGATATAGTCTTTGATTTTTATCATGCTATTCTAGTAATGCATACAACATGTATTGGGGTTATGAAAAGAATCCAATCCCAAGGAAGTTGCAATTGACTATATGAATCATCATTGAACATATCTCTTCAATTAAGCTCATCTAGTAGTTTGCTTAAATAAAAATGCCAAAAGCAGTTCAGTTCTTCTTTCCATATAGGGCTACTAGTTTGAAGACCTCAAGAACACTCATCCTTACTCCTAAGTCCTAACAGCTTTACTTCTGATATGCATCACATCCCAAGACTGACAGTGTGATAACAAATTCTCCCATTCACTCTTGATAACAACTTCATAGAGACACAAAATTGATATGACATGTTTAAGATTAAAAGTTTCAGAAGTCTTACAGTGACAAATGTTTTTGCATATTTAAGTCTATAAGTTTCATAAGTCTTTATTTCTTTCTTAAACTTAGTTTTGAGTCAAATTGTGACACATAAACTCAACCAGTGGGAGCACTAAGTTTGACTATGAATAATAGTATTCTCTAATTAAGCATAGGTAAGATGCCTAAATGCTTGAGCAATTAATATGTTCTAGGATCACTAATCGAACAAATATGGTATGATACCTTTCCTACAGATCATTAATTTTTTCAGGAAAATAAACTTAATTTCTTCAGCTCCACCTATGCTCAGGCACCATATCCAGTACCAAGCCCATATAAAGACGAAGCATGGAGATTAAGGGGATTCACAGCCAGCATAAAAATACTAAATTACGATAAACCAATCAATATAAACCTACATATAGCTGAACCTCGATAGTTTGAGAGGTACAGTTGATGGATTGATAGTAAAGCTGAATATATTTTGTGTCAATGAAGTAGAAATTGCAGTAAGCATATTGCAACAGTAACAAGCCAGAATCCAGTAGTGAAGAATACAAAAACAATGGAAATGAGTACCATAGGCTTATCATAGAAAGGAAAACCCTGCATCTGGCGAAGTGCATTGCTAGCAGAAGAAACTTCATCAAACACTACCCACGCCTGTCCTTTATGCTTTAGGGTTTTGAATGCTAAAACCTCCAGTATCTTACCAAACTGTGAGAACACAGCGTGCATCGATTTCTTCAGCTCTACAATTTAATCACCATCAATATACACAACACATTTTACAAACAGTGAAACACAAAGATAATGTTCTGCATAAACATTCGAGACAAGTACGGAGTACCTTCAAGCTTAATTTTTTCATTGAGGTTATTGATGTAAATAGTCACATTTGGTGGAACTTCGCCGCCGCTAGGGGCCGGATTCGGGTTCGTATTTTGGTTCGCCTCCGCCATGGCTGCTCGTCTACGCCTAGCTGCAACTTTCGCCGGTGAGGTAGAAACTTCAGTAGTCGTTAATTTCTCCAGAAATTTTTGGGCACGAGTAGGGGTTCTAATTGGGCTTGGGCTGGATAAGAAAATGGGCTTGTAAAGGAAAATCAGCCCAGTTAGATCTTCTCTAATTATTTGGACAAATGATCCCTTCATTTAGACATGGCGATAAATACGTGCGAAATGAAATCATGACTTGATATTTATATTTTAAAAATTCGTAATCTTGAACGATGTATTCTTTGTTTTTGAATTTGGAATTTCAGATCAAGAACTCAAATCACATGTTCAAATGTTCACTTGAAATCATACCGTATATCACATATTCAAACACAAACTTAAATTCAATTAAATCGTAAATATATAATAGTAATTTGGAGAAAAAGAAAATAATTTTTAAAGAAATAATAATAAGCATAAAAATAAAATTTGAATAGGTCATTTCTACTTTGACCTTGTTTTTGTTAATATTTAATTAATGTCTTTGGCAATAAATATTCTTTTTTTCATGGTAAAATTTATACTTTTATATCATGTCTTAGTGTATATATATATATACATGATTTTTAGTTTCTTAAAGGACATAACTTCAATTGATAAAGGGAAAAGAAATAGAAAACAACTCATTTAAAAAGAAAAATTCATACAATTTTGTATCTGCTCATTACTCTTATTTATATATTGAATATATGTTTAACTGACCACGCTTTATTTTACATGATCTACATATAGCTTAAAATATTTGTTTCTATTGGAAAACGAACCCTGATCTATAATACGTAATTGTCTCATTTCGTTAATAGTAAGCTACACAATTAAGTGCCACCACGTTGTATATATGGGCAACTTTTACATATAAAAAATAAAAAAAATTATATTTATATGTTATAGCAAAATTTACGTAATTGCGCTCCATAGCAAACATAAAACTGTATAATTCGCTATACATATATAATTGTATAATTCGCTGACCTAAATTGTATAATTCGCTGGCCTATTTCGCTGAAATTGTACAATTTGTTTTGCATACAGTTGAATCGAATTAAAATGTACGTATATTGCATAATTATAAGTGTATAGCAAGAAGATATATGTTTTTCTCGCTTTATACAAAAAGAGAAACACAATATATTCACTTCTGTTGTATAAAGCTAGAGAAAATTATATTTCACTGCAATTGTATAATTCGCAATTATATAATTTGTTGGTCTTTTTCTCTGCAATATTTGAAGTAAAATGTTTGTAAATTGTATAATTAAGTGTATAACACGAAGATATATATTTTTGCATGTGTATATACAATTTTCTCTCGCTTTATACAAAATAGAAACAGAATTATACACTTCTGTGTATAAAGCAAGAGAGGCGAGCGAGATTTTTGGGAGAGAGACGCTGGCAAATTTTAGCTAAGGTTTGCTATGGAGCACAATTAAATCAAACCCTAGCTATTCCATTTATTTTAGGTTATTAATTTACTATTATATACAATTTTCCCTCGTATATATTATACACTAAATTAAAAAAATAAATTGAATTCTCTGGAAAAGTAACACATCACAAGTTTCGAGTGGACATAAACAGAATTGGGCACATTAGAATATTTTGTGAATCGCAAGTAAGATCAAATTAAAGCTATCAACTAATCAATCTCATTCACATCTCTCTCAATAATTGGGAGATGGTATCAACTGGAAAAATAAATATTATTATTCGAAAGAATTTTAATAGCTAAATTGATTAAATTTTGAATTATAATCAATTTAATTTGTTGATGTTTGAATTTTTGTCTAGTTGAAATTAAAGTATTATCGACTCGATTTTCTAGGACGAGTCATAAAATAATTTTATAAATATTTTGTTTGCTGAACTAATAAAAGGAAAACATTATGAATAGTACGATCTAATAAAATTGATAGTCACTTAATAGAAAACTCAATATAGACTATCGATTCAAAAATCATAAATTAAAATTTGTGGCTCCTGCATAGTGATATTTTCTCCGTTTCAAAAAGAATGTTTTTATTTTATTTTTAATTTGTTTAAAAAAGAATGACCCTTTTTCGTTTTTGACAACACTTTAACTTTAATTTTCCACGTGACATATTTAAAACCACAAAATCAAGATCATTTTGATACATTTGACATAATTTTATTTTCGAATCATAAAATTAAAAAAAAAAATTCAGACTTTATTCCAAATCGAATCAGGTTATCATTTTTTAAATGGAGGGAATAACTAATAAGTGAATGGTAAACTAAAGATAAGTTCAAAAGAAAAATAAATTACTTTAAGAAATAAAACCTATCTTTTATCAACACGTATAATTAATCATTCTTGTGATGTGATCATTACTAAATTAAAAGTTTATGGATAAGATCATTAGACCAAGTCAAGTGTCAAATTAATGTGGGATTATCATCAAATAAGACACAAGTGGCTTAAATTATTATTTTTTACCCTTTTCGCGGTTAAAGTTTATATCAAATTTGTAAATAAGTTAAATACGATTTATTAATCAGTTCAATTAATTTATAAGCTTAATCAAACAATTTGAATGGTGTATTTGACACCGCTATGTTACATAATAAGATTTTTTTTTTCTTTTTTTGATTCCTTGTGGTATTTTGGTTTTGCTCCACAAATTAGGTATAAGAATAGCATACACAAAAAAATATGTATATTCTGTGAGCCTGAAATTAATATATGATAGGGAGAGCAAATTGTTTTTTTTTCCAGAAAAAATAATGTTGTCTTTTGGTAGTGTAAAAGAGGCAAATTAAAGCTAGGATTTTTATTTTGTGTGTGTGGAATTAATATTGATCACTGAATAATTAATGTAATAATAGGAATCTGCCTTTGCCACAGCTTTTTGGCTCCACAAAAATATTTGTGTGTTCAAAAATAGGGCTTTAATTGTGTTGATAACAACTCCCACTATTTATTCTTATTCTATAACAAGATACTGAGAGGGAACATTAAAAAAAACATAATATAAAAATATATGGGCTTATATTCAAATAAATATGATTTGGACAAAAATAAAAATCATATTTGTTAAGTGCTAACTCTGTCAAGTATGATTTGGACAAATATGAAATTACATAGGGTTATATTCAAAAAATTACGTGATTAAGTAAATTTGTACTATTTAATTATTTATCATAAATATAGTTTGTTATAATTAACATATGCAACTAATATTATACACTAATTACATGGGACGACTTCGAGTTTATATAATAGTCACGTTTGTATATGTATAATTCGCCAAAATATATAATTATTTAACTGACATACATATATAATTTACCTCTCTCCCACTCTCTGTCCTCTCCCAATCTCGCTCTCCTCTCTCCTCTCTCTCAATCTCGCTCTTCTCTCTCTCCCAATCTTGCATGTCATATATACAAATGCATATGTATAATATAAAATTATCTAACCGATATACATATACAATTCATCTCTCTCCACTCTCTCGCTCGCCTATCTCCTCCTCTCCCAGTCTTTCTCGCTCGCATCTCTCAACCCTCTTCCGATCTCGCGTGACATATGTACAAATGCATATGTATAATATACAATTATCTAACCGATATACATATACAATTCATATCTCTCCACTCTCTCGCTCGCCTATCTCCTCCTCTCCCAGTCTTTCTCGCTCGCATCTCTCCTCCCTCTTACTATCTCGCTTGACATATGTACAAATACATATGTATAATATACAATTTTATATATATATATGACGTGTAGCTACAAATTATGGTTATCAAATCATAATTAGCTTATTTTTAATTGCTTCTATATGAAAGTTCCTTTTTATTTAATATTCAATATCTATATTAGTATTTAACTAATTTAAATTTTTATTGCTTAGGATTCCATTAAAGGGAAAAACTATTTTTAAATTTTAAACACAAAGCTTCTAATTAAAAAAATCAGTCTCATCCACCTCACCATATTCTCGGGTGATTCTTTTTTTTTGGTTGTTGCAAGTTGTTGAAAGTGCATGTAAATAACTGGATACTTATGGATCATATGCTTGCCGTCCTTTCTTTTTTGCCTTCACTTAAATATTAGTTTCGTTTCATATTTGTTAATTATTTTACTAAAAATAATTATTCCATATAAATTGGTACTTTATTAAATTAAAAAGTATTTATTAATTATTTTTCTTATATCATTCTTATATTTAATTTTTTTAAAAAAAATATTCACATTCATTTATAGTCTCTTCTTTCTCCTTCAAAAATTTACTATATTTTTATTTATATGATTTAAATTCATATCATACGTCGAACTCGTTATCTCTTTTCACAGGATAAGCATAAGAAAGATTCACAATTTTCAAATTAGTAAAATTTCATTAATCAAGATATCTTTAAAAAAAATATTTCTCTATCTAGTTTTAGTAAAATTGCATTTTTCAGCTAATAAACCTTATTCTCTTAATTATTGTTTTCGATCGCAAATGACCCGTCAACTTTTCTGATTAAATTAGAGTAAACAAGATTTAATTCACACTAGATGAATGATTCAATTTTTCCATATATATATTATGTGTGTAATTCAATTTTCTAAGTGGCGTGTCGCTATTAGATTACAATGTTAATATAATATTTCAAGAGTGGATTGATTGGCGAAAATAAATAATTTCACCGTCTCAATTTATTTGATTAATTTTAATTTGGTATATTTTTCAATAAACAAAAATTAAAAAAAAATTGATATTATAATTAAAATATGTGAATTTTATTAAAATATTTTTTAATTTTATAATTCTCATATGAAAAACTAAAACGAAAACAAATAATTGAAACAAAAAAAAGCACTAAGAGCGTTTGAATTCGCTTATATTTAGGTATTGTTGACTTTAATATTTATCCACACACAAACCTTAATATATATTTTGTGACGAGATTTCTCTCTTATTAAAAATTTTTCAAATTCGAAAAACGATCTTTCTTTATTCATTTTGTCTCAATTTATATGATCTATTTTTTATTTAGTCTAAAAAAGAATAATAATATATTTTTATATTAAATAATAATTTAATTTTTAAATAATTATTTTATCCAGAATTATACAAATATCTATCACTTGTTTTAATTTTTTTTTCTTAAACTTTCTATCAAGCCAAACTAACTCATATAAAATA